TGTTGCAATGAATAATTCATCAGAAATCTTAGTTTCATAATTTTTTGAGGTTTTTTTTTTTCTCTGTCTTGGATTTATTAATCAATCTGTTGCTAAGAAATTTTCTTCGCTCAATTATAAATGTTAATTTATAATCTTAGTTTCTATTATATTGTTCACTCTTTTCACTCAAATTAATTTTCCCGAAAAAAGAAATTTTTAAATTAAAATAAATTTTGTATGTTTCAATTAATATATGATCATATTTTTTCATTTCAGAGGAACTACAGTTTCCATCCTAATATCACTTCTAAATGTTTGTCGTCGAGTTGTTGCAAAGTGACGACAACGGCTAATGATCTTATTTGTTTGCCATTTGCGACGACAACAACAACAATTATTATTGATTGCAATTTTATTACAATTATCTCCTCTGCAACATAATTTTAATGTGTCAGCCCAGTGGATTACAGTCGCTGGTAAACTTTTCCACTATTAAAAAAATTTTTTTTTTTGGAATTCTTAAGAAGTATGCGAAATTCTCAATCATATTTAAGCTTTGGGAGATAATATGATTATCTCCCAAAGCTTAAATATATGATTGAAAAAAATCAGTTTAACTTCTTTAAATATGAGAAGAGCTAAAGTGATTTTCTTCATCCTAAAAGTAAAATAACTTTAGTGTTTTTCTCATTCTTCATTTGTCCTTCCTTGCAATCATCTTATATTTTCTGTTATTCATTGATAGATCAGATTTGTAGTATAATTCGAGTAATTTGAATTATGTCAAATAAATTTACGAATTGAAATTTTAATCATTTGAATTATATCAGATAAATTTATAAATTATAATTGTAATCATTTGATTATATCAAGTAAATTTATGAATTACAATTGTAACCATTAGATCATATTAAGTAAATTTATAAATTATAATTATTTGAATTAGATTAGATAAATTTATGAATGATAATAATAATCATTTCAATTATATCAGGTAAATTACGATTTATAATTACAGTTATTTAGATAATATCAGGTAAATTAATGTAATGATATTATAATTAGGATGATTCTGCATATTTGTCAATTTACTTTTTCCTAGAATTTTCGATGCGTGTACCGGGTCATTGTACGGTTGCTTCTGATGTCAACGGTAATTCGAAAAATTGGCGACGACAACAGTTTGATTGTGATGGCAACAAATTGCTACCACAACAACAACGTCGTTGCATTCCACTCCAACATTTTCATGATGGAATTGTGGATTGTCCGGATGGAAGTGATGAGTGTAAATTTGATTGATGAATTGTTATTTGTATTGTTGTAATCATTTTTAATGAGTTAATTATGATTTTGCTCGTAATTGATAACTGCTTGAACAAGCACTATCAAAATCTAACTCAATAGGCTATTTAGTTAAGAAATTTAAGTGTAATATAACAAAATTTATTGTTCCTACAAAAATTATGATAATGCAAAATTTATGATAATAAACATTCATGATAAATTTATTATAAAAATTATGATAATGCAAAAAATAAGTGCATTTTAATGAGTTAATTATGATTTTGCTGTAATTGATAAGTGCAATTAATCTTATGAATAATTTTAGCCAAATTAATGAATTTTTTATGGGTCAAAAAATTTGGCATAATTTAATTTAATTAAATTTTAAAGTCATATTTTATGTATTTGTGTTTTTCAGTTTGCTTTCCCGGTTACGTAAAATGCGGCTCATACTGCGTATCACTACAATATGCAGCTCAGTGCTTTATTAATCCTCGTATGCTTTATCTCATTTAATTTCAAAGCTTTCAAATCTTTAATCAATAATTTTATGCTTATTTCAGGATGTGATAATTCACCAACATCACCGCAATTTTGCGATGTTACCAGTGAGTATTACTTATTTTTTTAAACAAAAAATAAATTGAAAATATCAAACATTTACTTGAAATTTAATTCAGTTATTAAATTTATTACGAAAGTTTTTGTGATGTAGGGAGGAGAGCTGATAGTTGTATCACGATAATCAGAATCGAAATGCTTGTTAGCTGGGATTAGAATAGCAACTGTAAGCGATTGATAAAGTCTTCGTGAATATCGTTGGTTGATAGTTGCAAGAAAGCTAAATGAACTTTGTTGTACGGTAAGCGAAATTGTAATACCAATTTGGAAGTGTACCACGTAGGATATATGTTTTGGATGATATCCACTCGAAGGCAAACGATACGTGGTACACTTCCAAATTGTTATTACAATTTCACTGTATGATGGACAAGACTGAGACCGTCCTTAGACAGACAAAATAGATGGATATCCCTCATTGGGATGATCGGTATATGATTGATATACAATCGATAATGTCACGGTTTGACAATATTATAGCATAAAGCCAAAAAAAAAAAAAGATTAAACAAAGAAAATAGATGGAGGAGCATTCATTTGTAGCCGTATGCTTTGTTACCTGTGAAAGAGAAAGAGAGAGAGAGAGAGAGAGAGAGAGAGAGAGAGAGAGAGAGAGAGAGAGAGAGGAAAGGAGAGAGAAGATCATAAACGGCGGGAAATACTGTTGGAAGCGCTGAATGACATAACACTATAGAGCAAAACATTGTTATATAACAGAAATTAAATATGACTATAAATTGTATTAATAAATTTCCTCTTATCTAAATATCAATTATGCAAATTTTTATTTACGAACGAAAATTTATATCATTAAACTTCGAATTTCCCGATAAAATTTGGAACTAATTTTTGTTAGTTTTATTAAATGCAAATATTATTTGAAGCAGATGTAATATCATATATAATTTCATTACAGTAAACTACGACCCTGTTAGATAGATCATCTGTTCTGAATGAATTAATTTCATTCGAGATAGGCTTGCGTAATTTAATAAATCCGTGAATTGTTACAAATAGATCTAACTAAAATCAATTTCTAATTTCCACTTGTATGATATTTTATTTGGTGAGCAAACGTTGAAATTTGTCGTCTTTTTTTAGAGAAAAAATTATGTTCAATTGAGGGAACAGTACCTTGCAAAGGTTATGGTGAATGTGTAATGAGAAAATGGATCGAAAAAGGTCAAACTAATTGCATCGATAAATCCGATCAAGGTCATTTTCCTAAAGCTTTATTAATTTATATTTCAAAAAAAAAAATCCATGGAAATCGGATATGATATGTACATGAGTAATCACCTTAGAAAGTAATGATTACATTCATTTGAAAAAAAAAATCACTTGAATTATTCTTCAAGCTAACGAATTATTGCAATGATATTTTATTTTCAGATCCTACTTACATTGCTGTATTCGGTATCAAGCGTGGTACCAATCTATATCCAGGTTTGCAATTTGGTAGCAATATAAGTGATATTTTTCATGGTACGATTAGCACTCAAACATTTATCTCATCATGGTTGCAATCAGTTTCTCCTTCACCGTTACATCCCAATTGGAGAAATGATACCGATGATGATATGACAAAAGATTGGAATAATGCAACCATTCAATCGACAACAAAACAATTCGTATTTCAAATACCAAATAATAGAATGATTGGTCAAGATTTTAAATCTTCAAATTTTAATACTACTACTACTGTAGTTTTATCAGTAAATTTATCAGTAAAGCATATAGCTTTATCAATAAAGCAAAAATTTTCCAACCATTCCATTCATATAAATCATTAGGTACAGGAAAATTCTCAAAATTCTCAAGAAATTCTCAAAAAAAAAAAGAAACAATTCTAAACAATAATGAACAACAGTATTGTTCTAGCAGTTATCATATAGGATATAATTTAGGTAATAAATCAGATGCAACTACCACTACATATCAGCTTCATTTCACGACTGTAAAATCGAGTATCGACAATAATTTTACTGCCAGTCATGTTATTGAAATGCTGCAATCACCGTTCATTCATCGTACCGGTGAAAATCCAACAGAGCAACAAATTTTGGAAAAATTGAAAAATTCAATAAATGCATCAACAAATCCAACTGAAATGGCTAAATCTCCTGATGCTATTCGAATTGATAACAAAAGTAACAGATCGGAATATAGCGGCACTTTAAAGCAAGATAATATCATTCCATCAAATGGCATTTCATTATCGGCTAATAAACAGCATCAGAATCAGAATGGAACTTTTAATCCTTCTCCAAATAACACATCAAATGATACCAAAAATACAGTAATAAAAATACAAAAAGAATCACAACAAATACCGCAATCAACTACATCAAATCAACAGTCGGAAGAAAGTAATATCTTTCTCTTTCCCTCTCTCTCTCTTTCTCTCTTTTCAAATAAACAATTCATTTAATAATTTTACTTATCAATTGTGAACAAATTAATTTAAAGAATTACAGATAGTTTAGCTAATATTACCGATAATACAACATCTGGCCTATCACCTGATCAAGCTGCATGCCTTCATTATGAGTATGCAGAAGCGCAACGTTTGGTACCGAAACCTTGGTGCACTTGTCCACCAGGACAAATGCCTAGCGGTGAGCATGCCGCATGTAAAAGTATGTCTTTAACACTTAGTTTTTTTTTTCTAATTTTATTTTTAGCAACTTTTGGAATTTTATTGTTTCAAAATTCAATTAAAATCTCAAATTCTAATTTACCGATATTACATCCTTTTTAATTTAATTTTTAAAATTCATATATACATATACAAGCCATACTTATATATTAAAAAAAATTGATACATAAGGGGGCAATCAATATAAGCGATCCTAGGCTTGTAAGTAAATCTATGGTTAGTTTTATTTATGAGTTTAGCTTAATGCGTGTTGTGGTATGTGAAAGAATAAGAAAGATATCGAACAGAAGTTATTGCTCATTGATAATTTTATTTTTTAGCAACCATCATATCAACATTTGGCATTGATGTACATCGTATGTGTGGTGGCATTGAGACGAATCCGGAAGAACGATCTCGACTTGCTATTTTGGTGGTTGGTTTTATTTTTTGCTCTCAATTTTACATCACTAATTATTTATTTATAATTTAAATTTCCTTTTTGCTACGAACAAACGTGGCAGAGAGGAAAGAGAGAAAAAGTGAAAAAGAATACATTTAACAACTATTTTTCAGTTAAATCGAACCCAGTTACCATATCAGGCTTGTGTTCGACGTGATGGTCATCCCGTTATGGTACAGCTTGATTGCTCCCACTGTACTACTATGGAATTTGATGAAGCATTCAAACGAAATTCAAATGATCAATACATACCTCTACATATAATGGGTAAATTCCTGATTATACAACTATTAAATGAGTAAATAGCGCATTAAACATTATATGTTAGTAATAATAATTAATAAATAGCTCATTAAGCATAATATGCTAACAGTAGTAATTACAATAATTATAATAATAGTTGATGAATAGTCTGTTAAACATCGTATGTTAGTAACAATAATTAGTGAATAGTTCATTATGCATATATTAGTAATAATTAATAATAATAATTAGCTTCCCATATCAATTCTCCTTGTTTTCTTGTTAATATTATCTTAAATTTTATTTTCTCAATCTTCCATGCTTCGTTTGTAAATTTATATTCCATTTCATTTGTTCATGATGAGTTTATCATCCTGAACATCTTCAGGATGATAAATTCCTGAATTGTGGAAATGATGGAAGTATTTTAGATGCTCTATGACATTTGCAGAGCTTTCGCTTGGTGCTTGCTTGACATCAGCGCTAAATGATTGTGATCCAGAACATGCCGATTGCTTGGTTAATGGTCCACGATATGAATGTCAATGTCATGAAGGTTGGAATGATACTTCAAAAGATATAGGCAAAGCAGAAGGAAGACGATGTGAACAACTGATCTTACTTGCTGATGGGTAAAATTTCATCTTTCTTTCTTCTTTTCATCTCTATTATTTTTCAAATTAATCATTTTATTTCGGCTAAATTCAAAATCAATTATTAAATTAACTTTTTTAAATTTGTTAATTTATAGATGCATCCTATTTCTTGGTTACTGCTTGTTTTGGTGGTTTCTTTTACTTGGTATCATTCTCTTTTTGATATTATCATTGCTATGTTTGCTAAGCTATAAATTATATAAATGGTGTCAGAAGCGAAGACGACGAAATGTTGTAGTCGATGAACAGGTACTAAAATTATTTTTTTTATTTTCACTCAATTATTATTTGTTTTTAAATTAATCATTCCTTATGATGTTTCCATTTATTATAGGGCGGCCATTTGGTTACAACGGAAATTGGTTCCGTTAAAAATACCACTTCTAAATTGGCTACAACCGAATCAATCAATATGAATAATAATCCCAATTCCATTAGCTCAAATAGTTTTGCAAATGATGAAAAAGCAATATCAATTATTGACAGCAAATATCTTCCAACCTCCAATCCAACTAGCAATCAAAATATTTCTAAGACAGCGAAGAAAGTTCTTATCAATCAAGAAAGTATACAAACGTTAGATTCATGGCAGAAAAATGATGAAATTAAAAGAGATAAAAAACAAAAACCACCGAAAAAGCAATCACAAGTATCCGAACAAACCTTTGATGAAATGAAATGTGAGTTAATCAACTGATATATTACTGATGTCTAAGCTTTTACAGATATTTATTTTAGCTTTTGATGTGCTAAGACTTATTAGAAAAAAAAAGCTAATTAATATGAGAGAGAGAGAGAGAGAGGGAGAGAAAGAAATGACGTTAAGATATTTACAAAAGAATATTTTTTAATACCTGATTGCCACAAAATGATCTTTTTTAAACTGATAGATCTCTCGTATTCTTCTGAGATTTTCTAGCATATGAATATCATTCTCTTTTACAGCTGAAAGAAAGGAAACAGTTGTTAGCGAAATCATTGACGCTGATTCACTTATATCCTCAAATAAGAAACTGAAGAAAACTAAATCAGAATCACATGCAGGATCAAGCGAAATATCATTGGAATCTCAGAAGAGTACAAATATGATGCTACCTGTTGTAACACAGAAAGACATCGAAGAAGTATTGCCAACTGATGGGAATGTAATAAAAAATTTTGAGAATGTCGAACCCACAAATTCGAAAGTGATGGTAAAGCAGAATTAAGTGGAGAAATTTTGATTTTATTTATTGTATGAAATGTATTGTTAATTGTGATTATGAATTACATGCGATATTTGAGATCTTTCAAAGGAAGTAAAATGAACAATTATTCCTTTCCTTTCCTTTTTTTTTTTTGTTTTACAATGAACTAATAAAATTGCAGAACGTCAGTCAGTCATTATCGGAAACATCACTACGTACAATGTGGGAATTATTTAAGCAGGGCACGTGGAAACAATCGTCCAGGCCTAGTTGTTAGTTCGTTTACTTGGTGCAAATAAGTAAACTGGATAGAGAAATAAAACTTTTTTTAACAGTTTAAATTTACGTATAATCTTTTATTATCATTCAATCTTAATGTAAAAAATATATTATTACAAGGTTAAAAATGTTTAAAAATATATCTTATATCCCCAGTAGAAAATATATTCATCTATTGTTTTCCTTTAGATTTAATAGTTAAATAAAATTTTGGTTGAATCTAAATGTTATTGTTTTAATATAGAGGAGAGACGAAAGTTTGCTTCTATCTCGATTCAAATTTATTTCTTCCTTCAGAAAAGTGAAAAAAAAGAGAAGCAACTTTTACATAATTACCAAAAAAAAAAAAAAAACACAACTTAAGAACATAATAATCTGATCTGAGATTTATTCTCTTTCCGAGAAAAGAAAACTTTTTTTGTTCATTTGCTTTGGAGCTATCAAATCTTCAACGTCATCCCTGGATCGTCTTATCGACGTATTCTTATTCCGAAAGAGAAGTAAGAAAATTCATCCTGATGCTATCACAGCATCCAACAGCATCGAGTATTCATTGGATACTGTTAAGATAGTTGATCATAGAATCGATACTGCTTCTCAGTTATCGAATACTATTTCACCGATAGTTATCACATGCTGCAGTACCACTGCAACTACAGCAACAACAACAACTACTACTAGTGATATTTCTACATTGCCACAATCACAACATGCTATTGGTCCAGCTAATGATATGGTGCAGCGATCCACTGCTGCTAATGTACCAATGCAAACGCATGTACTGGAGCAAAAAATTATAACTGAAACAAGAACATTAACCACCAAGAGTACCATATCACTGCAATCGGGAGAGCTACCGCAATCATTAAAGGTTGCAGCAGCACAATCGCATATTCCTATCAATTCTACTGTCATTTTTGACCAATCAAAATCTGACCAGCAATCAGCATCCGATGCGATATTAACTGCCGCAAATGAAATATCTCAACAAAGTGATTCAATTGATGATACAACTGCCGTTGAGGTGCAACATTCTACAGCGGAGGAAAATACAGCTATTGATCAAGAACGATCAAGAATTGTAGAAACTGAAAATGAAGCAGAAGGTATTTCAATATTTTGTACGATTTATATAGATTAACTCATGCCTATTTTAGTTTTCATTCGGTTGTTGCATTTCAGATCAAATGTATACTAAACCATCTACCACAACAATTGTCACTAGTTCAGATACACAGCTAGAACGATGGACCAGTATAATAGCAGAGCCTAAATTTAGTGCATCTCGTAAAACGCAATCTGAACATGGAAGACGACTGAATGATAATGCGAAACAAAAAACGCTACCAACAGCCGATGAATTAAAGGATGCATTAAAAGAGGTTGAAGAAAAATGACAAATATCAACGTTTGATTTTTTTTTTTATTTTTTAAAAAAAATTACGATAAAGTGAAGCCTGACTCAGATAATACTATGAAGAATTTCTTTTCATAAAATTTGCTGAAAACGTCAAAAAATATTATAGGTAGCTTCAACGAAACCACCAACAAAACGACTTACTGAGAAGCAAAAAAAGAAACTAAGTGCATCATGTGGACATTTGTATATTCAAGATGATAATAAAATGGATAGGAAAGGTAAGCAATAGTTACGGAATCAACTCCATTTTCTCGCCTATCTGTTTACTTCATCAATAGTTATTATGAATTTTATCATAGAATGATGAAATGAAGTAAACAAATGAGTTATTATAGGATATTGTTCCATCTATCAATCATTGGCTACTGCTAGACAAGAACCTCGACGAAAACTTTCCAGTATATCAGAAAAAAGTACCGAAATGATGAATGGTGTAAACCAATTGATATCAACGCCAAGTAGTATCAGTTGTCCAACAACTACTCGTAGAAGCAAAGGTTTGATTCTTGTATCCTATGATCATCGGAAACTTTAATGAAGATCTGATGATTTTTTTTATCATCATTTATATTTATAGCCAATAAACTTAAACCTTCAGGCTATTTCCGCTCCTAAGCAACCAGTGAAATTACTGACGGGATAGATAATATTCCTTTGCAGATTATAGACAACTATTGCATACATTGTAAAAATACCGTGACAATGCTTACGGGGTATGGAATTGTCTTTTTCGCAGACCTAATGGCATCACTGAACGAATGTTAATGATCACGGAAAAACCGTACTTACTGGTGACGGTACTACAATGCGGAATTCCGGCAGTAAGCGCCCTCATTTCATGGATCAGTGAGAAAACATTCAGAGAATGAGCTTATTTATAGGATTTATATCGACGCTTCAAAGAAATTTCAATCCAATGAACGATGGTAGCAGTAAACTGGAACGTAACCGAGCTAGTACAAAAGTGAAGCTCAGAAAGGATAGCGAAACAAGCAGCTGGCGTCAACGTCCGATCTCTATTGTTGACTCACGGCCATCGTGGAATTTTTCACCGTTAAAAGATGGTTAGTACTTTTGGTAAATAAATGATCAAAGAGGTGCGGAAAGAATGCTGTAAAATTCAAGAGATATACAATGGCTATTTGATTATCTTTGCTCATAACCGCCGGTGATGCATAATTCACGGAGGCTAACACTTAATCGATGGTTGATTTTTAAATAGTCGAAAATTAATTAACCGGAGTAATTTATATATTTTCAACCTTTATTCTTCATCCTCTATTTTCCATGCGACAAATATCTGCTCAAAGTTGAGCATTTACTCTTCTCTCATAAAGTGAGGGATATTCGTTTTAGGTGATCTGGATCGTATTGCACCATTACAACCTAATTCCTCACATGGTCACCAACGGCGAAAATGGCTTTCACCACTACCTTTTGACGATGAACGTGCTGCAGACTTACGATCAAGCAAAAGGAATAGTAGTAGACGAGGACAAAGTGACTGGACACTGCATAACGCTACACGTGCACCTGTAACATCTACATCACATTCAGCACGTTTACATACTCGTTTACCATTTGCCAAAATGTTGCGCGATAGCAGTAGCGTAAAATGGACGCCATATGATACCGAGGATCACAGTAAACTGATAAAAGAACAGTTGTGGTGGGGTGTATATTAAAAAAAGTTGGCCAATGATTTCCATTAGCAAAGAACCATCCATAAGTTCCACAATACTGACTTCGTATAAAATAGTGACTTTTCGTTGTTTTGTAGTTAATTTTGAGTGCTATATCCAGTAATGATCCATCGGAAGATATATGAAGTTTTGTGCTTTTCGCAGGTGCCGAAATTGCGGAGTATCTATTGCCAGTAGCTGTTACACTTATAATTATCGCAATCTTTTGCAAAAAGATGCAATCAAAAAATTAAAGTGAAATATTCAGGAATCAAATAATCGCTTTTTCGAAGATATGTTTTGGAATATGATTGAAGTATCAACTTCGTTTTTCCTACTAATTGCCTTTTCCCCCAACTCAATTATTTCTTTCATATCAGGGAAGATATCCTGTGATCACCATCTCTGCTTTGATTTGTCATGAATTGTTAGTTTAAATATGTTGAATTATATTTGTATTAATAAAATGACAATAATGTTCATAACTAGAACAGTTCATTTTTTTTTAATTTTTTCGGTTCCCAGAAAATTCAGTTAAGTCAATGGACAATGTTGAATTGAGAATATCAAAGTAAAATGCTCCGAGCATATTATTGCACATATAAGTTCGCTTTTAATTGGCTAAGTGAAACGGATGTACATCAATTAACAAAAGAGCTTTCCTATTTCAACAAGCTTTTAGCTCGTTTGATATTTAGTAAAAAAGATATTCAGAATTCCAGTAAATAGGACTGGAAATTCAATTTCAGTGAACTTTTTGCTCAGTCCTCGTGAGCTTATTGTATTCCAATACAAATAAATTGGTGAAGTAATAGTGAAGCACGGTAAAAGAAATTTTACAAACTCATAACAACCCCAGACGACACTGTCGCATATTGTCTTAAGCAGATTTAATAATAAATCAAGCATTCCCGGACTGCTAAAAATATGAGCATTTTCCAGTCGATTCTTGAACAGACATAACATGAATGTAAAAGAACAGATTTTTTTACTGAAACATTTATTACAAGCAATAGTTTAACAAATTTTTTTTCGTGAAATATAATAGCTGAAACATTCCAGGAACTAAAAAAAAAAAAAAAATTACGGAAATATTATAAAAAGCTCTTTCTTTAATTAATACTTCATACCTTACATTATTAATTTCGTATTTTCGTATATATTTAATAAAATATGTTGTTTCGGAGAATCCTTTTATATATTTCTTATGTATATATAAATTCTGAGAGATGCCTCCCCGGTATATCTCCCAAAACTTCCCCACTGCTTCACTTCTATCTCTCTGCTCTACATTTTCCCCCGTATATCTCCCAAAAACTTCCCATTGCTTCACTCCTGACCCTTCTGATCCTTAAAGTGTCATTGCTTTTAAATACGTATTCCGAGGCTGTTCTATTTCTCGATGTTATTTGTAAGCTGCTTACGCTGCTAAAGTAACATTGTGTTGAAGCATTGTTCGTTGTATGCGTACACCTGCGTTAGTGTAGTGTATGAGCTATGGAGTACAGAACGTGTTCAAAATGATTTGCATCTATACGTGTTACACGTAATATATGAATTTATTTATATTTATAGACATGTGTGTACTTTTTTTTTTTTTTTAGTAATAGATGCTGAAAAGTTGTTGGATTTTAAAATATTACACTTGTTAAGGACTGTGTTTAATTTATTTATTCAACGATATGATCAAATAATTGAAATACGTGTTTTTTTTTCAAGGCTTGGTATCTTCAAGTTTTTTTAAATTCATTTTTGAATGCATTACAGGAGCAGTAACACTTTGTGCAGTATCATGTATCTATTATCTCATCATTTATTCCTTCCTTTCTTTGCTCATTACCTATCGCTACGAGTGAAAAAGGCTAATGGTCAGCAACAACAGCGGATACAGCTAAGTGATACATCAGTTGACGAATGGCGTGGATATTTCAGAAAAGAACATTCTTTAGCTAAACCATATCAAGGTTATTAGTTACGTTTATTTATTATATCAGGGAACATTTTTGGATGAAGATATTTTCCAGTTGAGAAAATCTTGTCAAGATAATGTTTGCTTTTTTTTTCTATTTTATGCAAGAAAGGAGGGGCAACATAATCTATTCAACGATAGGTTTGTTTATTCTGTTAGATGCATTGCATACTTTTTAGTTTTGCACATGAATCTATCAAATGTTATATATTTAGCGTAAGTTATCTTTCAAGATTTATAAGTTCATTCCAAAAAGAAAAATTTCATGTTGATAATGTGATTGCATGAAATCTTAACTGATAACGTGTGACACATTATTTAATGACGTGATTTCCAGCGGGTTTTCATCAAGTTGTGATGACTTTTTTAAAAAATTTCCCTTCAACTTCTATGGTTCATTTGAATGAAGAAATTTTTACAGCATGATAAAAGTAATCACATACTGATTACCTTTACTATATGTTTAAAGGTAACGGAATGAGTATTCCATATTGGGATATACAAGGTACAACCATCGTTACTGCACAGCATGTTCGTTTAACGGCAGATATTCAAAGCGCACAAGGCGGAATTTGGAATAATGTGGTAGGTCAATTTATATATATTTTTCCGTGAAGTGTATTATTTTCTTCTTTGACTTTCGGATGAAGGAGACGTTCAACGAGCTGGATATCGAATGCTTAAAAGACAGAATTTTGCTTTTTTTACTTTACAAAATTTTGACCTAGTATCAGTATATCAAATATCCATTAAGAATGTCGTTGCATATTAAACTCATTAAATATTTAATTGAATAAGTCAGAGTTTTAAAAGGCTATGAAAACGTAGATTTTTACTTAAAAAGTATGTTTAGCAACTGTTCAATCAGTTTATCATTAGCTTACAGCCGGTGAATGCTCGAGATTGGGAATTACATGTGAATTTTGCAATCCATGGTTCCACTGGTGATTTGTTTGGTGATGGAGCAGCTATATGGTATGTGCAAGATCCTGGCCAAGCGGGACCTATATTTGGATCAAAAAATTATTTCCGTGGTTTAGGAATTTTCCTAGATACTTACAGTAATCATAATGGACCACATGGGGTAAGTTTTCGCTTTACATGTATCTATTAGAATGCACAATTTTCTACTGTAGCTATTTATATCTTATGAAACTTATCAATATATTTGTAGATATCAGATATTAAGAGGAAGTTTTTCAGCATGGTCATCCATATATCTCAGCAATGGTTAATAACGGTTCGCTGTTTTATGATCATGACATGGATGGCACACATACACAACTGGGTGGTGAACATACAGGTTGTGAAGCGAAATTCCGGAATAAGCAACATCAGACGCAATTATTGATCCGATATGTTGGCGATGTGCTATCGGTTCTTTTATTTTTCTGTTTTTAAAAATCACTTTAACGCACATAATGTGAGAATACAACGTACCGTGCAGAAAAAATAAAAAATAATAAATCGGCGTTTTATATACAATATATTATCATGCAAAATAAAAATAATAAAAAATAATAAGTATGAAATAATTGAATTGATATCTAATAATTAAGTGTTATTGGCTAATGAAGTTACTAGTACACTGATAGACGAATTAATGATTTTGGTGAAATATGAAATAAAATGTAAAAAAGTTGAAAGTAATGAGAAAATAATGGAAAATGACAATGGGCATGCTGGATCATTTTTTTACAGATCTATACTGATATTTTGGGCACTGGCCAATGGAAAGAATGCATGAGTGTTGACGGCGTCCAATTACCTACGGGATATTACTTCGGTATCACAGCTGCTACAGGCGATTTGTCCGGTATGTATATTTTTAGTTTATGTTCTATCCAAAAATTATGATATGATATGGATAATCGTTGAAGAATCTCTATTACCACTAAAACTTTGCATTCTGTACTTACTTTAGCATGCCGCTGCTTAATTGTTTTGATTTTTGCAGATTATCATGATATCATATCAGTACGAATGTTCGAACAAGAGTTTGCACATGTGCAGGATGGTACTGGTGTTACCGTCGATCCTCGGCAGCGCGAACCGTATGCACAAAATGTTGCAGCACCACGTGACCATATAGATCAACCACCAGCCTCAAAATTAGGATGGATTGGTACTACAGTATTAGTAATATTAGGTGGTGCTTTATGCGTGTTAGTTTTATGGTTTGGTGTTATTTTCGTCAATCATCGGCAGCAAATGTCGAAGAAACGATTCTACTGATACATCTTTGAGGTATTTCATTATTCCTGTTTTTCTCGTGTTTAGGAAAGGAATATCGGTGAGTTGCGTCAAACTTTCCAGTAATTGATAATGATCAATTATTTTGGTTTTATTGAGTGTTCAAGTTTTCTTATTTTTTTCATATTATTTTTTTACGTGTTATAATAGTGATTTGTAGGGAATTATTGGATGCTGCTTACAATTTGTTAAACTTTTTTAATGCAGTTTCAATGTTACTTTTTTCATGAAATTTGATACATTGAATAATTTTTCTTAGTGCCTTGTAAATAGGTCCAAAATTGTTTTCTGGTAAGTAAATCAATTATATCAGAGAAAAGTAAGATTCACTAAAGTGAAAAAGTGTGAAGAGATCTTTTGGACCTATTAATATATTAATTGCACTCATCAGTAAATAAATTATTTGACGGAAATTTAAATACTTTATTTGCTTATCATTTATTAGATATACAAAATTGTAACCAGTTCTTAAACTATCCATAAATTTGCCGTGAAATATCTATTTTATGTGATAATTATTGAAAACTAATTCTTGGCATTAAAAAATTAAACGTTGTATTAGGAGAGAAATATTATTATAGCGTTTGTAGTTGGGTGCGCATATTTAGGAAATGCTCATATGCATTTTTTTTGATTAAGACTCTTGCTATCTAAATAAAACTATATTTGTTACTATTTTTTGGTCAAAATATTTCTATTCTTCAACTGTTATAGCCATTAGCAATGAAATACAACACTTCAAATGAATATGTATTATGCAATATTATATGTATTTCTTCGGCAAATACTGCAGGAATCGCGTGACATTGTGTGAGTGTGCAATGTCAAAAATTGATCGGTTTTCATTGTAAAAATATTTTTTTGCTTTTTCTGGTTGCAACTGATAATTTATAAACTCTCTGGAGATTTCCAGTAATTTTTTTCTGGTATAATGTCTAATACCTTATTTGGCTTGAAAAATATTACTAGGCTTCTACGAGACAAAAAGACTTTTGGTTATTTTGGAAATTTCCATTTGTATAGCTAATATGTTTTCATATCTTTGATAATATATTTTATCGATTTATTCATCTATGGTAATACCATTCATTACTATCTTATTGAAGAATCATTTTTTATATTCCCATCAACATCCCTAAATTCATTTGCATCCAGAATTTTTCTGCACAAGTTGTACGTTTAGGAAACAGCATTACCAATTGTTTTATTGGCTTTTTCTGTTTACGAATAACTTTGCTTGCTTACCCATTTATTTTTATTTATTTTCTTTTTCATAAAATGGTAAAATTTGAGTAAAATCCGTTGTTTTCTATTCCTATATTTACATTACAGTTCATCTATTTCTTTTTTTTTCTTTATGATATTCGAATGCGAAATATGTAAAGAAGCTAACATGTAAACATCCGTAACACTATCAAAAAGCATCAAAGACGTAAAATGTAGTTTTAGACTTTCTTATCTTTTTTTAATGTGCTCTCTAGTATAAGATGCTTCTTTCTCTTATCAGTGAAGCATCATTTGTACTTCCTAACATTATCAGTTGTCTTCCTTCAAAATCACATTCACTCTTCCTGTACTTCTCTTTTCCGTATACTTTTCCATTATTCAATAATTTTGGCAAAAAAAAAGAAAAGCAATAAAACGAAAAAATCGTTTATCCTTTTGATTTCATCTGAAATAAGATATGCTATTATTTCACGATTTTCGATCATTTTTCTATTATCTATTACTGTTGTTCATCAATTACCATGAAATACTAAAATCACAAACAGCTCCTATCGATGGTACATTGATTCCATCACGTGTACAAGATTTTCGAGCTCGATATGATCATCCAACGGATGCAATTTACATTCAATGGTCATATCCAGAAAAGATACAACACGAAGGTTAGTTATTGATATGTTAACTTAATTCCATATTTATATTGTAAAATTATCATCAATCATAATTCATTTCATTTATTCTACATGAAAGTATAATTTTACTGCAAAAAAAATTGTAAAAAATCATTGTTCATCGATTTTTGCAAAATAAACTATTTCCGCATAAATTTAAATGATTAATATTAACATTGTTCAATTTTTTTCATTAACTGTAATTAAATATTAATGAATATTACTACACTGTGCTAGTATGCCTTTTAAAAGTGGCATCAAACAAATAATTTTTTTTTACTGGTTTACTTCAAGATTTTTGGTATGATATGTATGGTTCTCATGTTCTGAAACTATTCAGTTTATTTATTTGTGGTTAGATTTAATAAAATTCATTTCAATGGTATAATATTACATAACTACCTGCATGTTATTTTCTATCAGTACAACCAGAATTTATGGTTCGTTATCGAATTACCAATCGTCCGGATCGTTTCTCCGAATTTGATTGGAAATACTCACAAGTTGGAACTAAATTAGAAGCAAAATTAGATTTAGGTGAAGTACGAAATGGTGATGAACTTCAAGCACAGGTAAAACTTGCCGACATTACAAATGAAGAACGAATATGAATGAGATGTAATAAAAATTGTGAGAGAATGGTTAGACCTCATAGATGTAAATATAGATGTAAATAACAATTATCATATGATACTTTGAGTAAGCAAACAAATAAGCCATCGAGCAGCGACAAAGATGGTTTTGCTTGATGTCATTACGAACAAAAAAGTGTTATTTACATCTAAAATATAAAATAATAATAGATCGGCAAATATCATAAAAATTATAGGTTCGTGCTCAGCGTCCTGATGGAACAATCTTGGAAGATTGGTCACAATCTTTGCTGATCTCGATAAGCAAACGTGTTCTCATCGATGGTGTTCCAGCAGCTGATGATGATCTGTTGCCACCGCTTGATTTTCAAGCTCATATATTAAGTACATCAATGGTACGCTTGGAATGGACTTCACCTTTCAGAGTTTTATCAAGTGGTCAGTATTAACTTGGTTTGGTAATGATAGATTTTAGAATAGAACACAATTAGATGATATGAAGCAATTGGAAGTATGCAATAAGGTAATTTGATAAGTAAATTTAGGATAAATATAAAGTCACTGACTATTTATAGTCAATTAGTCTATTAGAAAATAATCCAAAAATTATTGTTAATTGAATTTTAATAAAGATTTTTCTCTTAAGATCCAGCAACTCATTATTACATTGTGAATGTGAAGCAGTTAACATCCGCAGATAGAACAGCACTTCTTCGACAACAGGTTATTTTCTATTTCCAATCGTTTAACAGCAAAGTCCGATTGTTATTGCTTTAAATAGTAGAATGATTTGACTTCATTCCTTTTCAAAATACTTTTTTTCGATACTTTCAAGATAATATACGATTATGTTTAGAGTACCGTTATTCTACTGGTAATTAGATAATTCTTGAAATAAAACCCTCAATGAAACGCAATGAAAGACCAAATATTTGATAGAAAAAAAAGTAATAAACTAAGGCAGAACAATTAGCTCGCAAAATACTGAACTCATTCATCTTATTGATTAGTTAACTCAACGCTAACAGTTATTTAGCCTACGAAATAAATGTAACTATAATTAATAAGCCAAAAAATTGAGTATGATTCAAAAATTTGCAATCTAGAACTTTAAAAGCTAGGAATAACTTTTCTTATCCTTGCCATATTATGTCTTACGTTTGGATCATTGTAAGATAATATGTGCCATTTTATTCATTAAATTCATCGTAACAATTTTTTTTCCTTCTAATTTTTAAATAAATCAATAAATTATTCGAAAAAAATGGAAAAAAATTGCTGTCAAAAATTATGTTATATTGCAAATTTATGTTTGTTTTAAGCGCTGGAACAAAATAATACATTAATGCTTTAAAAATCTAAACTAATATTTTGCCGGTTTAAAACAACTTTCTTCTTCAGCAGTAAATTTTATTATTTGGCACTTTTTCTTATTATTAGAGCTCAGGAAATAATTTCGTGCATTTTGGAAACTAAAAAATCGAAAAATTTTACAGAATACAAATTGCAAATTGTTTAAAAATTAGAAATATCAAGCAGATATAGTTAAAAAATTGGGCACAACCAATTATTTTAAAATGTTTTCAAAAATAATCGAAAAGTTTATCAGTAAACGAAAATTTGTAGACTAAAAATCAATTATAAATGATAAGATGGTAATTATTATTCAACATGAAAATCAAATTTATTGTTCATAAAGACAATAATTTTATGAAAGTTCTAAAGAATGGAGAATTCTAAAGAATGGGAAACCAAATAATTTTAAAGCGCAGAGGAGGAGGGAATGACTTGAAAGAAAGGCTAAATGAACTACGAAATAAAAAATTGATACACAGTTTATAAAACTTAAGTGATTACATTATATATTTAAAGAAAAGAATAGGAAGTTCTGAGAAATTGAGATTATTTAATGAGTAAAGCTTTTTGATTAAGAATTAAATATTCTGAGACTATTCTCTGAAAATATAAAAATTAACCGGAAGTATAAATCTTGCAAACTTTCAACCTATTCCGTCATACTAGATATTTATTTTTTAAATTTATCATCAGTTGGCGGTGCAAATTCATATTTCAAAGTTTTTTTTGCCAAATTCAGCTTAACAACTAGTCATCCCTAAAAATATTTTGATTCGTAATTTTTATTTTTACTTTTATTATGTTTTAAATTTAATTCCTTGGTTGGTGCCTAGTTTAAATAATATTGCATTTATTTTAACAATGGTTTTTAATAATTTATCAATTTTTATAAGTAAGATGTAATATTAAATGAATCTATAAATTTCCATATCTAAAAATAAACAGAAATTTATAAATACATGAAAATAAAAGAAAAATTTGAAATATTTTTTTTGTTTTGCAGATTAAAGTTTCTGCAAATAGTTTCACCTTGAATAATTTGAAACCTGGTCAACGATATGAATTGACAATACAGACTGCCACAAGTCCAGAACGTGTTTCCAGTGTTGCAGCGATTGTGGAAATCACAATGCCAAAAGGTAATTGCTTCACCACTTTATCATTTATTGATTGCTTTGTTTCTTTTTATTTGACCTATCTATCAATTTTTTTCGACAATGTATTGAAATATTCATTTAGAAGATGAGTATTTCGAAGTGGGCAATTTGATTATCAGTTCACATTTCAAAGAATCAGGTCAAGGTGTTGTTAATTTGACCTGGGAAGTGCCGGGGAAGATGCAGAATCTGATCCAAGGTAAGCTCATTTCTCTTCCAAATAAATGATTCCTATTAGTGCTTTATAATATATATCTCCCATCTTAACCATTTGTCTCTTCATAGCCTACGATCTTGAATACTCAGAAGCTGGTTCAGACGATTGGCATCAGTTGCAGTTCAGCGGCTCACATCCTTCTGCGAGTTTAACCACCTTGAAAAGGTTTCTTAGATTGTTTATACGGGATATGGTATAATGTTTCTTGAGATTACATCAAATTTGTAAATATGATCATTTCATAAAGTGGCATTCTTCAGTAGTACAAATACATGCTTAATATGGCCTGTGGAATTATCATTCATTCCCCGCACACTTAATTAAATTTCTAGTAATGCTGATCTATCAGTTCATATGACTTTTCATATAACAATAAGTTTCTCTTTTTGTTCAAAGCTTTTGGAACACTTTGCATGACTTTCATGACGTGTTTTCAAGTGATAAAATATTTAAATAATAATTTGTCGTTCTTTTTCACCAATAAAAATAATTTTATGATAATTATAGTGATACGGAGTATTTGTTAAAAATTCGAACACATCTTTCCAATAATCTAACAACTGAAGGTGGACATTTCAGATTTCGGACACCAGCCGGTAAATTTATTTTCTTCATTTTAGCATTTTTTTTGTCAAAAAAATTAATTAAAAAATTTATTCACTCTTCTAGTGTAAACAATTAACTGGAAAGAATTTTTGTTTAGATTATGGACTAAGTAAACAATATTAAAACTTCCTGCATGTTTAAGAGTATCTCATTTTTCTCTTTATAACAATATGTAATATATTGCAGTTGTAAAGAATCCAATCAAAAAAGTGGATGTAATTTATACGCATGAAAGTGATGGTATACGGTTACAGTGGTTGTTGGAAAAGTAGGTAATTCACTTTGTAAATGATCCATTATATATAAAATTCCCATTGTTTTTCAGTAATATTATATCTTTTTCATTGCTCCTTCATGCATTGATTTCAAAGCGCTGTTTTTTTTTATTGCTTACTAATGGTACCAACTTATTATGAATGCTTGATTTTATCAAATATAATCAGTCTTAAATATTTTCATGAATGTGTGTGTGTGTTTTTTTTTTAAATATTCTTTTTCCTTGTTCCAGTTTTTTATCCGCAAACCTTATTGACGGCTATGATGTTTACGTATCCGACAATCCAGATCTTCCGGATGCTGAATGGTCGTATTATCCGGTAAGTGGATCTGGATTAACAAATAATGCCTTTGGAAGTGGAGCTAATTCACTTGTACTTCATAATTTACGACCCGGTCATATATATTATGTACGGATAAATGTTCGAAAGAAGGATGGTGAAATATTACGAGCAACAAGCATTTATCGATTTAAGACAATGGGTAAGTGCAAACAGATTGCAAAATAGAAAATATCGGTAATTCAGAAAATTTTTAACAATTTCATTATAGGGAAGAGAAAAATTCAGAATATCATTAAAGGAAGAAAGAAAAAATATGAAAGTTCGGTTAGAAGATACAGGTGGCCTATGTTAACAATTCAATTTTTATTAGTATTTTCTTATTGGGTCTATGTTAACTATTTAATTCTTACTAATAAGAATTGAATAGTTAACACAAGCCACCTGTGAAAGACATGTCACATGCCTATTACTTTATGCAATCTTTTATACTTTTTTTAGTTATCATGTCGTTTATGATCATGCGCATAACATATTGTTCTTATATGATTTCTATTATTAATATTATATAAAAACAATAAATTCACTTATTAGTTTGCAGAACGTGCCGAATTTCTTGAACGTCGTGAGGGAAGCACATTGTCATATCGATTATTATCACCTGGACGTGTTCAAATTACATGGACATATCCTAGTTCCATTTTACCTTTCATTACAGGTTTTGTATTTCTCAACTCTGCTATAAACAATTAGTGAAAGATAAGCAGACAAAAGTTACTGAAACATATGTAGCTATTGTGTTAGGAAGTAAAAAAATAAAATTAGAGGTGACGTAAAATAATGTTTGAAAATATAAGAAAAATTTTTAAAAATTTTATGAAATTTGTTTTCTTTAAAATTCTAGGAAATGCATATTATTATAATCCAATATCAATTATTTCCTTGTTTAGCATTTTGATTTTTTATGCCAATGAGAAATTGATGAATAGCGAATCCTTTATTTTGTCCTAAATTAATTCGGTTTCTTTCAGGTTCCTCAATTATGTATGCGGAAAGTAATTCGTTACCAACGAAGCAATGGGAACGTATTACTTTAGTCAATCCACGACAGGTATAAGAGATATTTTAAATTTGAATTTGTAAGGCAGTTATTTTGTTATAAAATAATGACTATGGAAAGATGACATGAATATGATGAAACTGTTTGAGATTATGAAATATTGCAGAATTCTGTTGTACTTGAAAAGCTGAAGCCAAACTCACACTATTTTGTTCGCATTTTACCGCAGATTAACAATACCTTTTACGATAGCAATATTATCGATATGTTCGAAATTAGAACTGGACTGGAAAGCATGTTTTTGAGTTTTTTTTTTTTAATTTCTACATAACTGATTTTTTTATTATTTGATTTTACCGTGAAAATTGCGGTTCTCAGATATAAGCTGAGTTAGAGATCATCAATTCTACTTTAGATCACATGCAATTCTCCCATTCTGGCGATATCAATTCGCGAATGTTGCCGCAACATGAAAAACAGCAAGGAAGTATGATGGCAAAATGGGGAGATGAAAAGTTAATCTTGAATG